GGATTGTGTTATAATTCATTGTAATAGTTGTGGTTAAATAGAGATGAGATGCAAATGTATATCTACCTGGTAATATACATCTGGTTGGCATCATCTCAGTGCCACTGTTAATTGGTGACCGGACTGGTTATCAGGTTCAGAGATGGAAAGAAACACTGAAGAGTGAACAGGAGTTTAGGAAACAAACATATGCCATTTATCTGAATAAAGAATGAAGCCACTGTGAGCTGCTGGTTAGCAAAATTTTAAACGTGAAACAATTGGAGAGTAGGAATGAAGCAGTAATTTAGGGAACCCATCTAAGGAAGAGAAAAGTTTATACAGGGCTATTTTGAACCTGGTTAGACCTATAGAAAGCACAGAATTGATGTTGAATGCCATCAGGTCAGCAGGAGCTGAGACCTGGAACTGGCTCTGGGAGTGTAGCTTTTACCTTTTTCAGATCAGTTAGCTAAGGGAAATAACTTACCTCGGACTGAGAGTGAAAGTAAGAAGTCAGGAAGAAGGCTAGCACCATGTTAAGAGTAAAACAACTTGAAACACATGTGCCATATGAAGGAAATGTACTGTATAAAAAGAACAAAGATGTCTGTGGCCAGAATATAGGTATCAGGCACTTCTTTTGAAGATGTTCAGAAATATTTTTTATTCCAACACCTTTGATTATATGCAAGTGTCCAGATAGCAGATCTTTATCTGCATTTCTAAAATGATACAAAACCTGACCTGAATAGACATGAGGCTGTTTGTCAACTTTATTTATCCCACTTAATGTGATTATAGGGTGCTGTTTCAGATCTGCTGGGGACATATATAATTATAGCATATTATACATGTACTATAGTCTTTTTATACATTTTGAAGAGTTCTGTGTTCTGAAACAAATCTGACCCATGGGTTATGTAAGAAATTGTGGACTTGTTCTTTAAAACAATGTTTTGTAGGTGACAGCAGAATTAAATTTATTTTCTAGAAACCATAGTTTATTTGATATAATTCAAGGAATAACCAAATACAAAACAGTTTTCAAATGTCTAAAAATGTTCCCCGTTCCCATTACATTTCTTCATCTCAGTTTTTGTTATATAATGGTTATGGGTCTTGCTTAAGACAAATACAAACTCAGAATGACTGTTAAGAATTTCGGTGTTTGGGGAAGTTTTGGAGAATGTTGACTCTTCTTGCTCAACAGCTTTTTCTTTTTTTTTTTGAGACAGAGTTTCGCTCTTTTTACCCAGGCTGGAGTGCAATGGCGCGATCTCGGCTCACCGCAGCCTCCGCCTCCCGGGTTCAAGTGATTCTCCTGCCTCAGTCTCCTGAGTAGCTGGGATTACAGGCATGTGCCACCACCCCGGCTAATTTTGTATTTTTGGTAGAGACGGGGTTTCTCCATGTTGGTCAGGCTGGTCTTGAACTCCCGACCTCAGGTGATCCACCTGCCTCGGCCTCCCAAAGTGCTGGGATTACAAGCGTGAGCCACCGCACCCGGCCAGTTTTTTCATTTAGGATGGTGGGTAAGACAGGCTAAGAAAAAAGGCAGCATAATCTCTGGTGGCAGGGTGGTATGGTGCTGAAGAGGCCCTGGAGTCAGGTCCTAATCCTGATTCATAATTACTAGCTATGTGACCCTGGGCGAGACTCTTAACTTTTCTGAGTTTATTATCTCTAAAGTGGTGAAAATTACACAGAACCTGCCTCTTAGATTATAGTTACTATTTTGGGTTCTATTTTGGTACACCTGATTTTATGTTCTTGTTTTCAAACTCTGATGAGGTACAATTAAATACTATGGAGTTAACGAGGACAATTCTGGTTTTAGGGAAGGAAGAAAGAAGATTGAACTCTCAGGTAGCTAAGGTCAGCTTCATATCGAAGGTGAAATTTATGAAAATATATAATGTGCTTTTGGGTTTTTAAATTGAAAAAATAGCTGGAATAGGCTGGGCAGGGTGGCTCATGCCTATAGTCCCAGCACTTTGGGACGCTGAGGTGGGCAGATCGCTTGAGCCCAGGAGTTCGAGACCAGTGTGGGCAACATGGTGAGACCTCTGTCTCTACTAAAAATACAAAAATTAGCTAAGTGTGTTGGTGTGCACCTGTAGTCTCAGCTACATGGGAGGCTGAGGTGGGTGGATCACTTGAACCCAGGAGGCGGAGGTTGCAGTAAGCCAAGGTTGTGCCACTGCACTCCAGCCTGGGTGACAGTGTGAGACTTTGTCTCCAAAAAAAGAAGAAAAAATAGCTGGAATGATTGCTGAATAATGTTCTTGGACTATACTTACTAATGCAGGAAAAATAGAATCAGACCTGGCTCTAAATTTATAATGGGTTTATTTTTCTTTTTTTTTTTTGATGGAGTCTCACTGTGTTGCCCAAGGTGGAGTGCAGTGGCACGATCTCGGCTCACTGCAGCCTCCGCCTCCCGGGTTCAAGCAATTCATCTGCCTCAGCCTCCCGAGCAGCTGGGATTACAGGCGTGCACCACCACACCCAGCTAATTTTTGTATTTTTAGTAGAGATGGGGTTTCACCATGTTGGCCAGGTTGGTCTTGAGCTCCTGACCTCAGCTGATTCACCCACTTTGGCCTTCCAAAGTGTTGAGATTACAGGTGTGAGCCACTGCACCCGGCCGGGTTTAGTTTTCTTTATGTTGTGGACCTACTAATGTATTAGCTTTAAGAAAACCCAGTATGTCAAAAACAAAGCACAAAGTTGGTAAATGAAATAAACCCACATTACCTAAGGATTTTAAAATAATAATTGATAGTTGCCGTCACTGACTGCGTCCTCTGACTTCGCATACAACTGTGGGCAGTGGCCAGGTTTGTTCACAAAATTTCTAAGAATTCTAATGAAAGTATGAAACTCAGAAAACAAGAACAAAACTGTTTACCATGGCTTTAATTTTATAGTTTTCTAGCTTGCCAGAAACCCAGTTCCACATAGCCTCTTCTCACCAACTACTGTGCCTTGTGGTACTGAGACTGTCCACTTTTGAATGATGAGATCAGTCTTAGGAATGGATTATGGCAAGATTTTTTTTTTTTTTTTAATTCAGACTGAGAGCTCCTTTGTAGTTTTTATGGTTACATTTGTTTGCATTTGGATCTCAAATCATCTTGAATTTATTTTGGTTTGAAGAATAACATTTTTATTCAAACATTATGCTTGATGACTACTTATTGCTGAATATTCTACTGGCAAAAATTGACAGGCTTCCAGACTAAAGAAATAAATCAGTAGTGAAGATAGTCTGAGTCTTATGTTCTTCTGAGCTGGTATAGATGGCCCATTTTTTTAAAAGACATTTTATTTATTTATTTATTTTTGAGACAGAGTCCCACTTTGTTGCCCAGGCTGGAGTGCAGTGGCACGATCTCGGCTCACTGCAACTTCGGCCTCCCGGATTCAAGTGATTTTCCTGCCTCAGCCTCCTGAGTAGGTGGGATTACAGGTGCCTGCCCCTGTGCCTAGCTAATTTTTGTATTTTTAGTAGAGATGGGGTTTCGCCATGTTGGTTAGACTGGTCTCGAACTCCTGACCTCAGGTAATCCTCCCGCCTTGGCTTCCCAAAGTGCTGGGATTACAGGCGTGAGCCGCTGTACCCGGCCTACAAAAGGCATTTTAATAAATTAATATATATTTACATGTAATAAAATGCACTAGTTTTACCTTTTGGTTTTGTTTTGTTTTTGAGACAGAGTCTTACGGTCACCCAGGCTGGAGTGCAGTGGTGCAGTCTTGGTTCACTGCAACCTCCGTCTCCTAGGTTCAAGCAATTCTCATGCCTCAGCCTCCTGAGTAGCTGGGATTATAGGCATGCACCACCATGCCTGGCTAATTTTTGTATTTTTAGTAGAGATGGGGCTTCGCCATGTTGGCCAGCCTGGTCTGGTCTTGAACTCCTGGCTTCACATGATCTGCCTGTCCCGTAGTTTTATGTTTTTGTGTTTTTTTTGAGTCTCACTCTGTCACCCAGGCTGGAGAGGAGTGGCGTGATCTCGGCTCAGTGCAACCTCCGCCTTCTGGGTTCAAGCAGTTCTCCTGTTTCAGCCTACAGGTGTGTACCACCATGCCCGGCTAATTTTTGTATTTTTATTAGAGACAGGTTTCACCATGTTGGCCAGGCTTCTCTTGAACTCCTGACCTCAGGTGATCCACCTGCCGCGGCCTCCCAAAGTGCTGGGGTGAGCCACTGTGCCCAGCCAATTTTATGTTTTAACAAATATATACCCATGTAACTACCATCCCAATCAACATAAGCGTATTTCCATCACCCTACAAAGACTTCTGATGCCCATTGCAGGTGATACCCCAGGCTCATTCTGTTGAGTTGGGTTTCAAACTAGAAATCCTAACTTCAGAGCCTGAGTTCTCACCCATTATACTTTACTGCTTTCCTAACTGAAGATTTATTTTCTTTATATAGCTTACCTGTTATATTTGCATGCTCATTGATTATTTATTATAGGCTGGAGGTAATTTGATAGTGTCATCATTCATCCTGAAACTTTGGTATTTCTTTATTTATCTTTTCTTGACTTGCCACATCAATCAGTCATCAAATTTTTGCGAAACCTTTATAATATCTCTTGCTTCTTACCTCCTGACATTATCAGCAAAAATATTTAGTTCATTAAAATACATCGTTCATCGTTTGGTGTTCTGTTGGGTTATGTAAATTTAATTGTTTTAATAATAGAAAAGTTTTTATTAGCAAGGTAGTCATCCACGATTCTATGTAGATTCTGTGTTCTCTGTGCCTTACGTCGATAAGCCCCTATCTTGTTATTTCAGTCCCATGTGATCAATAAAACAGCAAGCAGCCTTTGGTCCAAGCCAGATTCTCCACCTGTACCCTAAATCAGCAAATGACCTCAGGACAAGGCAGCTGTATAGCCTTACTTCCCTTTTGATGAGTCTTTGCTGCTACCTATGTATATTTAATACTAAAGTGTTGAATTGTAGAGGTTTTGTGATACAAGTGTTTTCTTTTCTAGGACTTTTCCAGATTTCTCAGAATAAAGTAGCAGTTCTTCTTCTAGCTGGTGGGCAGGGGACAAGACTCGGCGTTGCATATCCTAAGGGATGTATGATGTTGGTTTGCCATCCTGTAAGACACTTTTTCAGATTCAAGCAGAGCGTATCCTGAAGCTACAACAGGTTGCTGAAAAATATTATGGCAACAAATGCATTATTCCATGGTAAGATACATCTCATTATTGGAGTGTGTCTGAACATATATTGTTTTATAATATTCAAAATGCATATATACACTTTATTCACTTGCAGACATATTTCTTGTTACTGAAGATTTTCTTGGGAGGTGTAATTTACTATATATGTTAAAAGTAATATATATTATTGCTTGGTAGATGACCACTATTGACTTAATAAGCAATACGTACTCACGACCAACTTTTACATTCCTAACTGAGTACCTTAAAGTACTCAGTGAGCTCTCTGCATCTAGAAACTCTTATTTTCAAGTACCAAGTTATTTAGCTCTCCCACATCCACCCGTGCCTCTTCCACATACACACCAGGTTTGGCTGACTGCGTCCTCTGCCTCCCGGGTTCAAGCGGTTCTCCTGCCTCAGCCTCCCGAGTAGCTGGCATTACAGGCGCCTGTCACCACACCTGGCTAATTTCTGTATTTTTAGCAGAGATGGAGTTTCACCTCGTTGGTCAGGCTGGTCTTGAACTCCTGACCTCATGATCTGCCCGCCTCAGCCTCCCAAAGTGCTGAGATTATAGGCATGAGCCACTGTGCCCGGCTGTTTTTTTTTTGTATTTTTTGTAGAGACAGGGTTTCACTTGTTACCTAGGCTGGTCTCAAATTCCTGAGCTCAAGCGATCTGCCTGCTTTGACCTCCCAAAATGCTGGGATTACAGGTGTGAGCCACTGTGTCCAGCCAGTGTTAGTTTCCTAAGTACAAGAGATTACAGAAGATCCTGCTCTGCTTTTTACAAGTTTTTGGTTCAGCTCTTTAATCTCTTTCCCCGAGCAGTTTTGGAAGTTACCGTGTTTTGAGGGGAAAATCAGCTGTGTGTTTGAAGCCCCCCAAGTCCCTATCTTGTTATTTCAATCCCATGTGATCAACAAAAGCTCCACTAGTTTCTGTCCCCCAGCAGCCTTTGGTCTAAGCCATATTCACCACTAGCCTGTACCCCAAATCAGCAGATGCCCTCAGGACAAGGCCTCAGTTCCTTTTGAAAGATTCTGTCTCTGGACTTACAGTTCCAATCTATTTTGCCTCTGAAGCTCTCTGATGCCTTTAAAAATCTGCTTTTTGTAATTTTCCTAGCTTTTCTAGCTCTTCTTACCACAAGTACTGGCCTGCTGTGAACTGTTTGGTTCATCTTGATTCCTGTGGGGAATTTGGAGGAACATCTGTGTTCTAAGTGGCCAGCATTCTACTTACAGCCCTGGCCTCCTACTATCATGTCGAATTTTCTTCTCTTTCTTCCATCTCCTCACAACTCAGAATTTCTGTTCTTATGCAGAGAAGTTTAGCCACTTCTTTTGTCGTCTTCTAAATATATCCAAACCTTTTGTACCTAAAGTTCAAAATATCCAGGATAATTTGTTAAACAGACAGGTATCTCCTGTGGTATGAAATTATACCATTTTGTTTATTCTTTTAACAAATATTAATTGAGTGTCTGTTTCTAGGTGTTGAGGATAAATCAGTAACCAAAATAGGCAAAAATCCCTTCTTATTTGTAGTTTACATTCTAGTAAGGGCAAAAGCTACCGCAGTCACTAATTATAGTTTTAGATATTATTTCTTCTTCTTATCCGCACTAGCATGGGTTGACTTTTTGTGACAACAGAAAGTATAATTATACTTTTATGATTTTTAAATGGAGGGTTAGCAGAGCCCAGATTGCATTTCAAATTTCAATAAAAGGAACCCCAAGAGATCATTAAACTGTATTACAGTTACCCTTTTCTTCCTATTTATTCAGAATAGGCTTTTCAAATTTAAAATACACTTTCACAGAGTTCCAAAATGTTTCCGTAAGCCATTTTATAGGTTCTCTGGAAGGAGTTATGTTTAGTATGTTTAATATGTTAAGTAGATTTATTTCATACCTAAGAGTTGATGAAATTACTGAAAGAAATTTCCCTTGGGAAACAGCTAATGAATGTGTCTTACCCAAGAAAAATATGAAGGAAGTCAAAATAATAAGCAAGTACTTTCTTTTTTTTTTTTTGAGACAGAGTCTCACTCTGTCGCCCAGGCTGGAGTGCAGTGGCCGGATCTCAGCTCACTGCAAGCTCCGGCTCCCGGGTTTACAACATTCTCCTGCCTCAGCCTCCCGAGTAGCTGGGACTACAGGCGCCCGCCACCTTGCCTGGCTAGTTTTTTGTATTTTTTTAGTAGAGACGCGGTTTCACCGTGTTAGCCAGGCTGGTCTCGATCTCCTGACCTCGTGATCCGCCCGTCTCGGCCTCCCAAAGTGCTGGGATTACAGGCTTGAGCCACCGCGCCCGGCCAAGCAAGTACTTTCAAAGGTATCTTTAGCTTAGGAAATAGACAAAACTTTATTTTGCCCTAGTCCACCTAGCACGATTGCTTAGAAGATCTAATTTTCTCTTGTAAGGTATATAATGACCAGTGGCAGAACAATGGAATCTACAAAGGAGTTCTTCACCAAGCACAAGTACTTTGGTTTAAAAAAAGAGAATGTAATCTTTTTTCAGCAAGGAATGCTCCCCGCCATGAGTTTTGATGGGAAAATTATTTTGGAAGAGAAGAACAAAGTTTCTATGGCTCCAGGTTTGTAATCATCCTTATTTAATGGTGACTAGAAAGGGTAACAACCTAAATCATCAAATGTTGATTTGCTTTTTAACATGGTGATTTGGGTATTTAAACATTAATATGTGTGTGTTTTTTGCAGCTTGGAAATAATTTAAAAAGATGAAAATGCCCGTTGGTGGAATGGATACTTTTTTTATACTTTTTTATACTTGTTGTTGATGTCTGCTCTGTAATGGAGCAATTTGAGGAACATTCAGGGTATTCATTCTCTATAACAAGTATTTTATTTTATTTTTTATTTTTTAAATTTTTGAGACAGAGTCTCACTCTGTTGCCCAGGCTGGAGTGCAGTGGCGCAATCTCGGCTCACTGCAGTCTCTGCCTACTGGGTTCAAGTCATTCTCCTGCCTCAGCCTCCTGAGTAGCTGGGATTACAGGCACGTGCCACCATGCCCGGCTAATTTTTTGTACTTTTTTGTAGAGTTGGAGTTTCGCCATGTTGGCTAGGCTGGTATCCTGACCTCAAGTAATCTACCTGCCTTGGCCTCCCAAAGTGCTGGGATTACAGGTGTGAGCCACCGTGCCTAGCCATATAGCAAATATTTTCTATATACTGCAGTGTTCATGGCTACATCATTTATTATAGTAAAAACTTGAAACCAAATGCTATTTAATAAATGAGAGGCTAAATTAAGCATTAATTTAATAGCATTAAATTAATAGCATTAATTCTTAAATAGCATTAAAATAATTGGTGGCATTAAATGAAAAACATTATTTCAGTAGGTTAAGTAAGAGAATGCAAAATGAAAAACTGCATACAGTCTATGATTAGGGCCACTGCTTTGCACAGTTCCAGATAGTGCATACACATCGTGGTTTGTTAATGGGACCCACTAGAATGGGACAGTGTATTGCCTGTGTAGCCACATTCAGTGACCTTGAGTACAACGTCAATCTATAAAAATAGACCTACTGACAGATTTATATTTATGTGAATCTGTACTTGGAGGAAAGGCTGAAAAGAAATTAATGGTATTAACAGTGGTGCTCTCTAGATGTAGGCTTTTATTTCATCTTAATTCTTTTGGTTAATGGAAGAGTTACTATTCTTAGCTGTATTTTGTGAAATTGTCTAATTTTTCATCACTTAAGCTATGGCTAAGGTTGTTATTGGACAAAGTACATTAAAGCAGCATTATAAATAGATGGAGAAAGAAGAGGCTTTATTTATATCTAGTTTAAATCACCTTAGGCCTTCTTATCAGTCTATTTTTTTAACACATGATTTGATATAAAATACTTACATATTTTTATTTTTGACATGGGTGAAATTGTTAGCGTCAGAGTTATAAATACAGAGCTAACTTATATCATACAAATGTTAATAAAGCTTGATATGAAATAATCATTGCCTGATAAAGGATTTTATATCATACAATATATTACTAAAAGGGGCTGAGTTAAAAAGAAAGATATGGTTTTTGGGGTTGCCTGATCTTACATTGATAGTGTTATTCTCTGGATACTTAATGCTAAGTAACCTTCAAAATCCTATAGTTTAATTTTTTTGACACCTGATTCCTTCCTTATGGATATTCACTTTTCTTGCCTTTGTAAAGTGAATTTTGGTTTTTAGGGATCTTGACCCTAGTTTGGAAACAATCTTTGTGTTGCCTTTATAATGGATTTTGATGTGCTACTAATGAGCTATTTTGTTTTCCAGATGGGAATGGTGGTCTTTATCGGGCACTTGCAGCCCAGAATATTGTGGAGGATATGGAGCAAAGGGGCATTTGGAGCATTCATGTCTATTGTGTTGACAACATATTAGTAAAAGTGGCAGACCCACGGTTCATTGGATTTTGCATTCAGAAAGGAGCAGACTGTGGAGCAAAGGTAATGCCTTTCTCAACTATGGTGAGGCTTTTGATGGTCTTTCTCTGTCATATATGCATTCCAGAATTCAAACCAAGTTTATTAGGGTGATTTGAATATTTTAGAACCATTTATCTCTCTAAGGTAACTAAACGGTCCCACACCTACTTTTTTCCTTAAATTGGCAAGACTTGATTCTAGAAGTAATGTTGTATACTTATCAATCACAGGTAAGAGTTTAAAGTATGTGAGGAGGATTGTAAGTACTTGGGAAAGTGGTCATCACTAGACCTGGGTTGGATTCATTAATACCAAATTGTGTTCAATCAGATTAACCCAACTTTTTTCCTGTGACAAAGTTATTGGAGTAGGAAAGGAAAATGTGGTAGAAATAACAGATTTAGACTTCCTAAGTCAGGTGACAAGGTATCTGATGATGTTCTTTCAAATAATTTGGAAATAGGTGAGTTGGGCATAAGGACAATTAAAGAGACGAATACTTGCTTGAATGACCACACACAGACTGATAATAAGTTGGAGGGAGGTTTGTAATGATATGTAATGATTCTGTTCTTGGCATTGTACTTTTCAACATGTTTTTAGTTGTATAGATGATATGTCTTTATGGTAGCAAAAAAAATATGTATTATAGCTAGAAATAGACAGCAAACATGCAAACCTTTAAAAACACTTTGGAAGACTTAAAAATATTGATATAAACATTACTAGAAGTCTGTAAAGGTATCCATTCTCATCAAAAACAGTATAATACAATCCCAGTCAAAATCACAGTGAGACTATTTTGGGGACACTTGACAGAATGATTGCAAAGTTTAGAATAAACATGTAAAGGTGGCCAGGAAAATGTTGAAAAAGGATGAAGATAAGCGTGGAAAGGGGGCCAAAGACAATATATCAAGCATTAAAAGGAATTGTAAATTAAAAGAGTGTGGTACTAGAACCAGAATAGAATGACAGATTAATGAAAATAATGTAGGTCAGTCAGAAACACATCTGTGTATGTATAAGAAGAACACATTTTATAAAATATGGCATTTCAAATCAGTGGAGGAAATTAATGAAATAACTGGCTAACAATAAAGTAAGATCTCTCTGTCAAAGTTCATACAAATATCAATTTTAGGTGAATTACAGTTAAGTATTTTAAAATGAAGCCATAAAGGTATTAGAAGAAAATTAGAATAATTTTACAATTGTGATGCAAAGGGAAGACCTTTCTACCAAAAGCAGTAACTATATAGACTTCTGACAAAAACAAATTAGATTTCAAATTATTTTGAAATATCTGTATTTAAAAAGAAGATCTGCCAAAGAAGTGATTTCTCTCAAAGTTAATCTAGAAATTTTATGCAAAGTCACATCTGAAGCTGAAATCTTAAATTTACTGATACAAGTTTTGAAAGATTAAGCTGATGGACCTAATAAGCCTCCTCTGGACTCTGAAAATAAGAGTTGGTTTAGTTCATTTATTTAAGACTTCTGTATACCCTGTGAGTATCTGAACTGTATTTTTTTTTTTTTTTTTCGAGCCACAGACTCACTGTGTCATCCAGGCTGGAGTGCAGTGGCAGGATCTCGGCTCACTGCAACCTCTACCTCCTGGGTTCAAGTGATTCTCCTGCCTCACCCTCCCCAGTAGCTGGGATTATAGGCACACGCCTTCCACTTGGTGTCACTCTTTTTTTTTTTTTTTTTTGAGACGGAGTCTTGCACTGTCGCCTGGGCTGGAGTGCAGTGGCATGATCTCAGTGCACTGCCACCTCTGTCTCCCAGGTTCAAGCAATTCTCCTGCCTCAGCCTCCTGAGTAGCTGGGATTATAGGCACTCACCACCAGACCCAACTAATTTTTTTGTATTTTCAGTAGAGACAGGGTTTCACTATGTTGGCCAGGCTGGTCTCGAATGCCTGACCTCATGATCCACCCGCCTCGGCCTCCCAAAGTGCTGGGATTACAGGCGTGAACCACTGTGCCCGGCTGGTGTCACTCTTTTTTTCTAAAATAGAAACTTAAAATTTTACTGTTACGAGCTTCAGAACCAATTTAAACTTTATGCAGTCAGAGAGTGTTCAACCTGGAAGGGACCCCAGAGATCATCTGGTCAACCCCTTTGATCTCAGAAATGAGAATCCTGAGTTCTAGTACTTTGTTTGTTTATTTATTTATTTGATAGGGTCTGGCTGTGTTGCCTAGGCTGGAGTGCAGTGATGTGATCTTGGCTCACTGCAACTTCTGTCTCCAGGCTCAAGCAATTCTCCTGCCTCAGCCTCTGGAGTAGCTGGTACCACGGGCATGCACCACCATGCCTGGTTAATTTTTTTGGGTCTTTTTGTATTTTTAGTAGAGACAGGGTTTCTGTATGTTGCCCAGGCTGGCCTTGAACTTCTGACCTCAGGTGATCTGCCCACTTTGGCCTTTTGCTGGGATTACAGGCGTGAGCCAACACACCCAGCCAGAGTTCTAGTACTTTATAAGACCCAGGCTCAAGGTTCTTTATCACATTAGCAGAGCCAGGATTAGAGTTCGTGTTTCCCAACTTTCTAGTCTTATATTATATTACATTATAGAACCATACTCTTTAGATTAGTTAAGTTTTTGCTGACAGCTCAAAAATCTTTAAACTGGTGTGCTGACTTTTGTGAGTACACTAATCACGCAAAGATGCAAGTGTTGTCACTCCTCTCCATTACCTGTGGACTCTGTAGGGTAAATCCAGATGAGTCTTGCAAAGACACTCACTGTTTAGTCCTGTGTCTGGCATGTAATGTAGTAGTCACTTAGTGAATGAATAAGTAAATATTCAGATGGAACCAAAATATAACTAGACTGACATATATTAAAATCTTCTAGAAATGTTAGAAGCCTTTTATGTAATTGCTCCCCTGCCCTTTTAAAATAAGAAAATCAAAGCATTAAAATATGTGTTTTAAAACATGTAAGTTAGGGGATGATTCATACTGTGGTAGTAGAATTATTTGCAGTACTTTATTTTATTGTATTTATTTATTTTGAGACAGGGTCTCACTCTGCCACCCAGTTGGTGTGCAGTGGCATTATCATGGCTTCAGTGCAGCCTCGACCTCCTGGGTTCAGGTGATCCTCTCACCTCAGCCTCCTGAGTAGCTGGGACTACAGGCACCCGGCACCATGCCTGGCTAATTTTTGTCTTTTTTGTAGAGATGGGGTTTTGCTATGTTGCCCAGGTTGGTCTTGAAATCCTGGGCTCAAGCAATATGCCTGCCTGAGCCTTCCAAATTGCTGGGATTACAGGTGTGAGTCATTGTGCCTGGCCTGCAGTACTTTAATAGGCCCCTGTCTTGGTGCATTAAGTATTTTTTATGGAGTGAGGAACATGAGAAAAGACTAAAAGAGTGAGGTAATTTGCAGAAGTGCAAAGTTAAAAAGGCAGGAACCATTATTTATTGAAGATCATTTTGTAAAGCAATTATAGTAACTCTGAGGTTAAAGTGTTATTTTGTACTCAGCTTTTCTTTCAGCTCACTGCAACCTCTGCCTACCGGGTTCAAGTGATCTTCCTGCTCAGTCTCCCAAGTAGCTGGGATTACAGGCATGTGCCACCACACCTGGCTAATTTACCATGTTGGCCAGGCTGGTCTTTTAACTCCTGATCTCAAGTGATCCACCTGCCTTGGCCTCCTGGAGTGCTGGGATTATAGGTGTGAGCCACTGCGCCCAGCCCTGGACTCAGTTTTTCTGGATTAAACTTATGAAATAATGAGTAAACCTTTTAAGTTTATACTGTATATCTTTTCTTTGTGTGGTTTTTTTTTGAGATGGAGTCTTTCTCATTTCGTCCAAGCTGGAGTACAATGGCACAATCTTGGCTCACTGCAATCTCCGCCTCCCAGGTTCAAGTGATTCTTCTGCCTCAGCCTCCCAAATTGCTGGGATTACAGTGCCTGCCACTATGCCTGGCTAATTTTGTTTTAAATTTTCAGTAGAGATGGGGTTTCACAATGTTGGCCAGGCTGGTCTTGAACTCCTGACCTCAGGTGATCTACCCACCTCAGCCTCCCAAAGTGCTGAGATTACAGGCGTGAGCTACCACCACCCGGTCTAAGCTTTATATCTTTTCTGTATAATATAAATTGATTCCCATTTCATGCAGTTTACAAATGCTTTCTTCTATAATGTAGACTTTTATAATATTTGGAGGTTCATAGTTGCCATAGAAGTAAACCTTTGGGAAATGTAAAATGTGAATATGCACATTTTTATTTTTATGGCTGGTTGGGAGTAGGCGTATATAGCGGTGATTGGAAAATAAACCTGTGTGTGTTAAAAAAAAAAAAAATGAGAATAAGGGGAATCTATCCCAATTCCCTGCCTAGTAAGGTACCGACTGTAGGTAAAGTACATGAAGTAAGAGGTGGTGATGGGTTGGTAGATAAGAATTATAAATAGGCCCCTGATTGATTTAAATGATTTGCTGAATAATGTTCCCCTTCAGTTTAATCTAATTCCTTGGTAGAAAGTTTCTTTTCATTAAGAACTATGTTCCTTACAGGGTGGCAAACAGTGAGCCACACAGCAGGCTTACTTATCCAGCAGCTCTGCCTCACCCAGCTAGACTCAGTGCCTATATCTCTAATTGCTGTGTAAACGAAGTTCTCAATAGTGCCTTTAGTTTTCTGGACGAGACTGCTACTGACTGTATTTATTTTAAGAAATCAGTTGTTGAAGAAAAGTTTTAACTTTATTAATATAATTTCATGTCCACTTAGGATAGACTTGTCAAATTGTTTTAAACATATTTTGAAGCATGCTGAATTGATAATTGGACAGGACAAATAAAACAATACCTTCAAATAAATATGTATTTTTGAGACAGGGTCTTACTCTGTTGCGCAGGCTGGAGTGGAGTGCAGTGGTGCAATCACGTTTCACTGTAGCCTCAACCTCCCCAGACTCAGGTGATCCTCTTGCCACAGCCTCCCTAGTAGCTGAGACTCCAGCATGCCACCATGCCTGGCTAATTTTTTATTTTTTAAATAGAGACCAGGGTTTCACCTTGTTGCCTAGGTTGACAAATATTTTTTATTGTTTGATTCTTTGGTTGAATATTTATCTCATCTGAACCTTGATTTTATATTGCTCATTGTATATAGTTCTTTTATAATTTTCTTGTAAACACTTAAGTCAGTGATGTGTGGGATTAGTGTGGTGGCACACTAAAATCACCTGTGAGGTTTTTAAAAATTACATATTCTTACATTTCCTCTGATTTTAGTATGCCCTCTTTTCTCAGCTCCCCATCAGCCCAGAGCCTTTGATAAATTGTCACATCACTGGTTTTCAAAATTAATATTTTGAAATGTAGAATCACTTATTTCAAACAAAATTGAGTATACAAAACAGATAAATATGGTTGGGTTTTCTGATTAAAGTTGGAGTGGGAGGCTAGTGACCTGCCTGCTCTAAACCCCTTTACCTGCTACTCAGGTCCCTGAAAAACAAGAAAAATGCCATATTCACTAATGAAAATTAAAGAAATGATATTTCAGATGAAATATTGGGCAATAGAAAATGAGAGACAAAATGCCTAACTTAGGTCTTTTGTCTTGTGAATCCCAGAGAAATTTCATTTTGTTTATTATCAAAGTAATTGAGTGTGGTTAAGGATAAATTAAACAAAAAGTACAAGATACATGGGGAATGTTGACTCCTGATTTAGTTATTCCCAGTCCAATGTGATTTACTCTGTGCTAGATATATATATATATGATGGAATTTCTAGCCCATGGTTTAGTTAGGTGATAAGTAGGAAGGAAATAATGTACCTCATTTCCGGTTGGAAAGTGCCTGTCAGGGTATATAAAGATGGATAGTTGATTGTCTAAAGTTAAAGATTCTTCTTGGCTTTATACCTTTTCGTGTAAGCAAAGTTGTAAATGTCATCTTTGACAATGGCAAATCTCCAAAGAAACATTTAATTCCATTTCTTTCTCTACTGTTGTCTTTCTTTGGTGGACAGGTGGTGGAAAAAACGAACCCTACAGAACCAGTTGGAGTGGTTTGCCGAGTGGATGGAGTTTACCAGGTGGTAGAATATAGTGAGATTTCCCTGGCAACAGCTCAAAAACGAAGCTCAGATGGACGACTGCTGTTCAATGCGGGGAACATTGCCAACCATTTCTTCACTGTACCATTTCTGAGAGATGTTGTCAAGTATGGGCAAGATGGAGCCTTTTAAAATTATATTTATTGTTAAGCAGAAACTAAGACACTTGAGAGGGACGCAGATACCCCAAATCCATATCCCACAGAATTCATCTTTCCCGAGGATCACTTATCAAATGGACATGTATCTCATGTTGTGATTGTTTTTAGTAAGATGTATTGTAAGGTGGGAATCATCGGAGCCCATTCCCCAGCACATTAATGGGAGGCCAAAGCATTTCACCCTTCTCACCTTCCCACCCCCAACTATGTGCTAGGTTCTGTTGAAGCAAAGAATAAGAAATGAAACTTTCTTTACCACAACTGTGAGCTTTTTAAAAATACAGATATTCACCCTACACCAACTGAATTAGAATTTCAGGAGGTGGGTCGGGGCATCTGTATTTTTAGGAAGCTGTCCTCAGAGTTCTAATTCAGCTGATTCCCAAGCTGGCATTTAGGAACTAGTGTGCTAAAGAATAAAGAAAGAACTTGACACCTGCATGAAAATCAGTGGGTAGTGCGATAAAGGATAAAATAAGAGCTATTTTATCCTACCATAGTTTTAAATGAAGGACATTCTCACTATCAATTTCACTTAGCTTTTAGACATTCAAGATGACTGTCTACTTTTTAAAAAGTTAATACACCTTACTTTATCCAGTTCCAGAATATTTCCCGTTCTATGCCATTTGTAGCTGGGTTTTTGTTTCATCCATAGTAACTTAATGCATTTTTTAATGTACACATATACAGTTTTAAGGCATTTGTAATGAATACAGTTTTAATGCACATGTACACAGTTTTAGTGGAGACCGTTATTTGATTTTTTAAAAAATAGATGATTTGGGGAAAGCTATTCATTTACTATTTAAATATGAACTGAAACTTAAATGCTCTTCACTTTGAAAATCTTAGTATTGGTTGTTGACACATTGCTCCTGAGTGTTATAAGATTTTCTGGCATTTGAAATCTGAACGTGATTATATCTTTTCTCCTCCTACTTCTTAGTGTTATGAACCTCAGTTGCAGCACCATGTGGCTCAGAAGAAGATACCTTATGTGGATACCCAAGGAATTTAGTTAAGCCAGACAACCCAATGGAATAAAGATGGAAAATTTGTCTTTGACATCTTCCAGTTTGCAAAGTATGCTTTGAATAGTACCAGTAAGGTTAAATAAATGTCTTAAAATGCTGCTTTTCACTCTCTTAGGCATGAAACTGTTTTCAGGAAACATTTGATAGCACATATCTCACATGGCATTTTGATTGTGAGTATGCAGTCTAGATTCATTATGGTTCTCTAGAATAAACCAGGAGTGTGATCTGAGTTGCCTATGAGTACAACATTTTTTTTTTAATCATCTAGTTTCTGGCTCCTATAAAGTTTTTTTTCTCATATATATATATTTATTAAATGAGATGGGTTCTTCCTATGTTGAGCAGGCAGGTCTCAAACTCGCGGCCTCAAGTGATTGTCCCATCTCGGCTGGCGCAAAGTGCTGGGATTACAGGCTTGAGCCACTGTGCCCCGCCTTGGTCTCCTGTAAAGTTGTTAAAGTCGTTTATTTTGGATGAGAAACTGAAAAGGTTAAGATAAAGAATTGGCCGGGCGCGGTGCTCAAGCCTGTAATCCCAGCACTTTGGGAGGCCGAGACGGGTGGATCACGAGGTCAGGAGATCGAGACACCATCCTGGCTAACACGGTGAAACCCCATCTCTACTAAAAAATACAAAAAACTAGCCGGGCGAGGTGGCGGCGCCTGTAGTCCCAGCTACTCAGGAGGCTGAGGCAGGAGAATGGCGTAAACCCGGGAGGTGGAGCTTGCAGTGAGCTGAGATCCGGCCACTGCACCCCAGCCTGGGCGACAGAGCAAGACTCCGTCTCAAAAAAAAAAAAAAAAAAAAAAGATAAAGAATTGACCCGTTTTGTATTTAGGATATCTTTTTACTGCCCTGTGAATAAATGTTTTAAAACATGTTTTTAGATTATATAGTTTTCTATAAAGATCACATTTGATGCTGAGATGCTTGTCTCAGAATTTGATGAGTGCAAAAATGAGGAAGACAAATAAGCTGTATAAAATTAATGCGTGGTGGCTCATGCCTGGAATTCCAGCAGTTTGGGAGGCTGAGGCGGGTGGATGACTTGAGGCCAAGGAGTTGGAGACCAGCCTGGCCAACATGGTGAAACCCCGTCTCTACTAACAGTACAAAAATTAGCCGGGCGTGGTGGTGCATGCCTGAAGTCCCAGTTAGTCAGAAGGCTGAGGTGAGAGAATCTCTTGAACCCAGGAGGTGGAGGTTGCAGTGAGCTGAGATTGCACCACTGCAGTCCAGCCTGGGTGACAGAGTGAGACTCTGTCTCAAAAAAAAAACCATAAATAAATAAAATGAAATTAATCTTTCCATTTCTAAATCATCTTTTTTGCCTGTTTTTTTTTTTTCCCCCAGAACAGGCACTAATGTGATCTTTGTACGTTAGGATTCCTAATCTTTCTGACTTAAGATGAACTGTTCTATAGTTGAGGGGGGAAATGATTTCTCATTTCGCATTGAGAAAGAAAATTTCAACTTTCTTTAGTCCAAGGATGAGCAATATTTTATTCATCATTCAAATTGGAATAGGAAAGCCTATTGTTGAAGACCAAAGGCTTAGCTATGTTAAGGGGTTAGAAGCTGTGTATGCAGTTTCATAATAAAGAGGTCTTTATATGGTTTTGCTCTAGGAAGTTTGTGGTGTATGAAGTATTACGGAAGATGAGTTTTCCCACTAAAGAATGCTGACAGTCAGAATGGGAAGGACAACCCTACTACTGCAAGGCATGCTTTGATGTCCCTTCATCATTGCTGGGTCCTTAATGCAGGGGGCCACTTCATAGATGAAAATGGCTCTCGCCTTCCAGCAATTCCCGGTAAGTCCATATCTTTTCTCTTTTGTATGAATGCTTTCTTGGACTTTTCCTCCTCTTGGACTACTTTCTCTCTCCTCTGTATTCCTAGATCTTTTTTAAAAAACAAGTGTCAATGTGTGAATAGTTCCTGTTGTGAAATAACACTAGCTTTGCCTATTACAAAGAGAATGATTGTTTTACTTTCTTGTGAAGAGGAGTCTTTCAAATCTCTTTCTTTAATTTTTTTTTTGGAAACAATGCCACCGTGACAGCAAAAAGACTTCTACTAAATAACGATCAGAAGATTTTTTTTGTTTTGGTGTGCCATATGGTTAAAGCCCATCGGTAACACTCTGTACCACAGGGCAAGTCCTTCAGCCACAGAGGATTGGTTTTGCTGCCCTTATATCTGTGGCCTCACTACTATTTTTTTTTTTTTTTTTTTTTTTTTTTGGAGACAGAGTATCGCTTTGTCACCAGGCTGGAGTGCAGTGGCGCAATCTCAGCTCACTGCAACTCCACCTCCCAGGTTCAAGCGATTCTCTTACCTCAGCCTCCCAAATAGCAGGGACTACAGGTGCACACCAGCACACCCAGCTAATTTTTGTATTTTTTATTAGAGATGGGCTTTCACCTTGTTGGCCAGAGTGCTGTTGATCTCCTGACCTTGTGATCCGCCTGCCTTGGCCTCCCAAATTGCTGGGACAGGCGTGAGCCACTGGGCCCAACTGACCTCACTACCATTAATAATACTGTCTGTGAGACCCACTCATAGCCCCACCAACCCAGGCTACCTACAAATTGTAGTCCCATGGCATTTTCACTGTCGCACTTTCAGGTCACTGAGGAAGATGTGTTAGAACAGAAGTAAATATCAGTTACATTCACTGATACTTTTAGAAATGGCCTTGGTTTTGAGCAGTTAAAAAAAAGAAGGTATTGTAGCAATTTAAATCCAAGGTAAAATACTTTCCAGCTAAATCTGTTTTTGATTGTTTGTTTGTTTGTTTTTTGGAGCCAGAGTTTCGCTCTTGTCACCCAGGCTGGAGTGCAATGGCACAATCTCTGCCCACTGCAACCTCTGCTTCCTGGGTTCACGTGAGTCTCCTGCCTCAGCCTCCCAAGTAGCTGGGGTTACCCTCGCCTGCCGTAATGCCTGGCTAATTTTGTATTTTTAGTAGAGACAGGATTCCACCATGTTTGTCAGGCTTGTCCCGAACTCCTGACCTCAGGTGATCCGCCTGCTTTGACCTCCCAAAGTGCTGGGATTACAGGCGTGAGCTGCCATGTCTGGCCAGTCCTTTTCGTTTTTAAGACAAGGTCTTGCTCTGTCAGCCAGGCTGGAGTGCAGTGGCACGATCTCGGCTCACTTCACCTCCTGGGCTTAAACAATACACCCGCCTCGGCCACCCAAAGTGCTGGGATTACAGGTGTGAGCTATTGTGCTCAGCCTAAATCTTGTATTTTATGATGAAACCTTCACTGGCACCTAGAATTTCCTCTTCTGAATCATCTGGTATATCCGTACTTATGTAAAAAGCATTCTGCCATTTAATTTATATTCCTAACGGATAAGATGGCTGGCTGCAAGAATGCCTCAATAAATGTTAAAATATTGGGCTAGGTGTGGTGGTTCATGCCTGTAATCCTATTTTGGGAGACTGAGGCAGGTGATTACCTGAGGTCAGAAGTTCAAGACCAGCCTGGCCAACGTGGTGAAACCCTGACTCTACTAAATCTACAAAATTAACTGGGCATGGTAGCACACGCCTGTATCCCAGCTACTTGGGCGGCTGAGGCAGGAGAATTGCTTGAACCCAGGAGGGAGAAGTTGCAGTGAGCTGAGACTGTACCGTTGCACTCCAGCCTGGGTGACAGGGTGAGACTCCATCTCAAGAAAAAATAATAAAATGTTAGAGAACACATTGGAATTTACTAGTACGTAACTGGTTTTATAAGAAGCAGCAGTGGTAGCTTTCATCTCCCAGTCCAAGGCCACTTTTGGGCTCTGTATTGGTCAACAAGCTTGCTCTTGGCGTGTCACGTTGTCCTCATGTTTCATCTTTGGCCATTGAGTTTTATTTTGATTTTTTTTACCCCCTTTTGGTCTCTTGGGACAAATTTATGATTTACCATAAATACATACCATTCAATCAAGTATATTTTGCAACTCCATTTCATTGTTATTGTTTGATTTGCTTCCATTCCCCATTAATGCTTATTTATTCCCACATAGCAGTGCTACAAATGGGAAGTCAGAGACCATCACAGCTGATGTCAATCACAAGTAAATATACCAGCCTGCCTACAGTGCATGGTGATGGGGCTGTGCTTCCCTCCATACTAACTGGCATCGTAGTTTAGTGCTCTGCCTTTTGGGGGTCTGGAGGGAGGATGGTTGAAGCTTTGGTGTGGGTGCACTGCTTACTTGGTGGCAGGTATCTCTCT